ATTATCCACCTTTTTGGTGGGATGCTTTGCTTTACATTTCAACTTGTTACAAAAAGCCAAAACCTTGATTTATTCGCTATGCCTGAGTTCTCGCCCTGAGGCTAAGTCTATCTAATTTCTATATCGTCTCGATGCTGTGGAGGGGCCATTTCTTGTGTAAGATGCTGGGCTTTGGGTGGTTGTTAACGATCGAGTGGCTGTGCCCGACCAGCGGTTGCCTTTCTTTCCATTCCTGTCCATCTCCGTCTTGGGTGTTTCCGTGCTGGTGGCCCTTATGGCTGCACCATTTCCCTTCTGCTGTTGAAAGGTTCTTGTATGTCGTAGTCGCTATTGCGACTGGTGGCGGTGAAGTTGAAGGACGTGTCGTCAAGGCGCCAGTCATTGGTGTGGGGCCTGCCATATCAGGCAGGTCGTGACATGGCGAGTGCCATCGCGAAAGTATTCATTGTCTACGAGATCTCTTGTTAGTCTCTGCCAAACATCTCAAGGCCGGTGCCATGTCGAAAGACTCAGACTCACTCATCGACCAGCCGGAGTCCTGATCGTCGTTGTCGCACATCCAGAGCACCTCTGATGGTGGCAGTAGGGACAGTAGGCATCGATCTTGCAGTTGAGCGGACCAGAGGAGCAGTTGTGCTGAGAGAGAGAGAAGCCGGTTAGCAAAAAGGACAAAATCAAGTGATGAAGAGCTGTGTTTCTTTGAACTTACGCAATACCATACGGTGGTCTTGACGGTGGGCGCGGGCTTGGGCATGATGGGCGAGCGTTGGAAGAAGCTTGGCAAGTGTAGAAGCTGATTTAACTTATTGTCTGTTGCGGTGGTTGTATAACGAGCTTGGTTCTGGTGCGTTGACGTCTGAGCTGATGACCTTAAGCTCTTTTGTATTCGAGTGAAGGAGATTGACGAGCTTATATCCTCGATCATTTGGTGCGGCAAACGTCTTGCAAGTGGAATTGGAACAATCTCGTGGCTAGGAGTCGCGCGAGTGCGCATTTCCCAGTTACTTAGTTTCCCAAACTCGGTGAGCATCAAGCATCTTTGTGGTTTGCACGCTTTCTTCGCGTAGAAAAGTTTCGATGGAGCTCTCTGGGGCTGGGGCGTCTTTTGGCTTCGCCTCCCTCCCCGTCAACTCGGTATACCTACACTTTCATGAAAGCCGCTTCCCACTCCAATCGTTTTCCAAGTTTCCTTTGGCCTCATCCCGAAGAATGCCTATCTTTGTTTGACTCTTCCAAGTTGCCTTGTTGTGTAAAAGTGGCCGTTTTCCGTTCCTCTATCATCTTACAAGACATTACATTACGGTGTACTCCGCCACTCCGCTTGGTTTCGTCGGTATGGGACAACTTGACCGAAGCTCACTTGTCTGCCAATGCTACGCAGACCGGAACAGCCCTGTCTTACAGGCCGAGGGCTCTCTAATTTTATGGAATGTACCTTGGCTGTTCTCGAAGTCGGCCTGACAATGTTGTACGGTACCTGCCACCAAGTCACCTCACCAGATGAAGGCGCCTCGAGTCAAGATGTCATCGAGCGACCATCACTGGCTACGGAGAGCAAGTTATCAGGCGGATCTTGACATATCATACTGGCCGCAACGCCCGTTCGAGCGCAGAGTGCTGCGCAAAGAGTTTCTTTTGACATGACGTCAAATCACCACACGAGGAGGCCGCCACTCTGGCCTACCATTACAAGTCACACTGCGACAAGCACGAAGAGTTTTGATTTCCAATGTCCATTTTGCAGTTGTAATCCCATTGCTAGGCCAATCATGGTATATGATCGCTTTCATTCTCAGGCGTCTATGTACATGGTATTGCATTGCCCCTGTCGTGCCCATAACAAACCCTATGCCAATACCCGGTCTCTTCCATGCCTTACCACCGCGTGTCCTACAGCTAAAGGACGTCGACGAGGACACTCGTGTCCAAGATATATCTCGCCCGCTCAGTGATCAACACGCTGGCGGACCGTTTCGACCGTGCAATTGCCGCAGTATTGGTGTCCGCAGCCGGGGTTGGTACAGAACACGACAATCTGAGGGTTGTATGGTCCCTGTCTACAGTAGTCCTGGAAGCAGAGACGTGTTAGTCGGAGCATGTCGTGGGTGACCCTAGATGAGCTGGGATGGTGCTGTCACTTACACAGTACCAGACCTGGTACTCGATGTACTGCTTCTTGCTGCTAGAACTGCTGCCGTGGGACTTTCCGCCGCCGTGGCCCTTGGAACTCGAGCTCTTGTGGTGGCCCATTGTCGATGCTGATGTTTGGTGTGGTTAAAAGAGGTAGATGGTTGAAGGTCTGAGAGTGATGGAGCGGTGCTATTGACAGTGCTTGATGAAGTATCTGAAAACCGATGCCGACATCGAGGGAATCACTCGAAGCTTTGTGAGTGCAGCAGCTTCTTTTATGTCCTTGAGTTCGGTCCTCTTCCTCAACGAAGCGTTTGGAAATCCTTACATCCTCACATCCTCAATGTCAAAAGGTGCGCAGTTGCGCAGCTAGCTTCCTCTGTATTTCCTTGATCAAGACTCACAAATCGCAAGTGGGCAAGTTGCAATCCTCAATTTTCCTCTTCCTCAACCCATTTCCTCTGAGGCAGGGTTGGCTCTTGCGCCACCTCCTCGGTGACAATTACATGTTCTCCTCTTCCTCAATACCAATCATTACCAAGGTGGGCCTCGCGCGCCTCTTTTTTTCCTCACGTATTTTCCTCATACTTTCCTCCGGTATCTTCAATCAACGTATTACAATGGGCACCGATTTCTCGCACAGACACGTTTGGCCTCAAGGTCTCATAAAAAGAAAGAAACGTTCGGTAAATGGAGGTGTTGCCGCCGGTCTTTTTTTCTTTACACTCGGTGACCGGAGGTGTACGGTTATTTTTGGCCTCCCCCATGCGGCGTCACTGCCGCCTCCGACGTCGCCCTCTCGAGTTCCCGGTTGAAAAGGCATTTCTCATCCCAAGAGCGGTTGGACCGTTGTGCATGTTGTGCATCATAGCCCGCATGGCTACCAGCACCACGACCTCTCTCCCGAGGCCGCGGGGTGGGAGGCCCAAAGGTATGTGCGAGGCACAACGTTCGCCACGAGGCACCCTGGCGCCCATACCCCAACGTGGTATCTTACCCCTACCCAGGGTTTTTTGCCTTTTGGTGAGAGAGAGAGCCTAACTCGATCTCAACGCCCCTGTTTCCTCTAAAGTCGTCCGCGCACAAAGCGAGGCAGCAAGTACCGAGACACGGCCGCAGCTTCTCTCCCACACCCCCTCTCCCTCCCGCCTTTCATCCAACGCTCTTTGCTTGCTCGTAAATCTCACAGCCCCAGAGCCGTGGTAGCCAATAGTGGTGACAGGGCTTCCATGTGTCTCTCTGAACCGCATTATGGGCCGCATGCAGGTCCTTTCATGTGATTTCCAGGTTTCCACGAATCCTACTGTGAGGTTGATGCGACGACGAGCCTCGACGAGGCCCCATCACATGTTCCCCAAAACCGAGGAACGAATCATGTCGTTGGAATTGAGAGCGTTCCGGGCATTGGCTGCTTTACGAGACTGCCTCGAGGTAGGCCTTGAGGGGTTTGTGGTGGCTCATCGGACGGACCTTGCTCGGATTGGTGTTCTACTAGGAGGAGGTGAGGTATACATATTTACGTCACAATATACAAAGGGGGGGGGGGCTTCTTTTTTTGGTATTGAAGGTCTATTGGCACGATGGACAGGTAGGCGTCATTCCGGCTTTCTCTGGAGGATGCCTCAAGTGAGTGGTGAGTGGTTTTTCATGTTCTCGGACAAATGAGATGGTGTTATTCGTCATTTTCCTGAGAGAATTACGCCAACACGAAAACAAACTCAACAGCCATATGCTTCGCTAGTTGTAGGCAATTCAAGTGACATGTGAAATCTTCCATGTGAACCTCGGAAAAGACCGACTGTAGATGAATAGAAACGTTGCTCGGTACTCGGAATGGCGGCGCGTTGGCTTACATCAGACCATAGTCTAGTCTCATCAACAGATGTGACATTTCCAGTGCCCCGAATTACGAATTGCCAAAAGAAAAAAAGGCACCCAAGTTACCTTGTCTTTTCATTACGTGAAGCTTTAGGGGAATTGTTCTTGTCTGCGGCGTGTGACTGTAACGAAGTTTCTGTGGAGTCGGGCTTCGCCACACTCAATAGACTTACACTCCAATCGGTCTTGTCCACTTCTTATTCGACATTCAATTCCATTCATTCACGGTAGTCCATGATCCAAAAATGATTCTAGACTTTCAAAAAGGCCGAGTAGCGTTGCAAAAACAAAAACAGAGATGAGTCCATTGAGGAGGATATGTCGTGAGACTTTCTAGTCTATCTAGCAAATGACTTGCGTCCTAGACCCCTCTGATACATAGAGAAACATCCAATGAAAAGACGGTAATGAGTGAGGAAGCTGTACGTCGTAACCAGCCGTATCCTAAACAAAAGAAACAAAGCCCAATCAGACAGTCGATCCCGCCTAGGCCCCCTAGCAGGTCCCATGCCTGCATTGTGAGTCAGGTGAGAGAGCGACTAAAAAGGACACAGCAGTAGATCCAACCAATGAAAGACAAAGGAAATCGAAGCAAGTGGGAGCGAATCGACAACTTCAAACTAAACTTCATCCACCCTAAAACATAACTCCGCGTGGGCGGAACGGTTTACCACCCCCGGGATCTATCCCTGCTGCCTCCCGCATCGTGCAGTGTACTTGACCAGTGGGGTCAAAGTACTGGGGAATGATTGCCTGCGCCCGTAGGTAGTTCTTAAACTGCCGTTGTTGTGTGGAAGAACGATGATGCGTTGTTGAAGGCGTTCATCTCACTCTGGTGGTTTGAACTGGGCAGTGGTTGCAACGTCTGTATCCGCATGTAGGGCAGCCGTCGATTCTCGTGGTCATTCCAGAGTCACCACACTGGCACTATTAAATGTCAATCATCGTGTTGAAGTAAAAGGTAGTGGCTAGATGTTGACTTACGCATGTCCAGGTCGCAACGTAAGTCTTAGCTGATGGCTTGGGCATGGTGATGGATTGAGTATTCGTGCGAGGAAATCAGGAGTAGATATGTTTGAGTCTTGATATATCAGACGGAAGAGTAGTAGATTCTTAGATGAGTATTTCTAGCAGATGCTCAAAAGAAGCTGAAAGCGGTGATGGTGTGATGAGACGACACTTGTTTCTCAGGAATCCATCCATCTCTTTATAGTTCCAAAACCTCAAGACGAAGTCCCAAATCCCTTGTTGCGTATCGTCCGCAGAGTCCCACTGACATTACAATCGACGGCTGTGTCAAGAAAGCCTGGCCGAGGCGACAGAATTGTTCACCAGCGAGGTTTCAAGCCACCGCACAATAGTCACTAGACATTTGTTCACGGGAAGCCTTAAACGGAGACGGGGCCGGCGTGAATGAGTCGTCTTGGTGGGGACTCCTGTCGTTGAGCTGGTGCCCATCGTGGCTGTTCCAGAAGGCATCCTGCTTGCCTCGGCGAAAGTTGGCGCAGTGACGAATTCACACTCCATAACCCGACGTCTAATACCACAACTGCGCCTACCTATGAGGACGCCTCTGGGCCGGCCATTGGTATGTAACGTCTGCCCTGATAGGTCCCCTACAGGCGTTTGGATATCCGGAGCGGTGGTTCGATGCGATGTTACGGTATGGCCAGGCAGATAGGAACACCTACGGTGAGTGATCTGGAACACAAATTAGCCCAGACATTATTCGAGGAAATATCCACCAGTGATGAGGGGCAGAAGAGAGTATGACTCCTTGTGTCTTGCGCCGAAAGTACGGAGAAGGGCGGCAGAAGGACGCCATGGGCCAGCATACGACGCGGGAAGCCATCCGAATCCTCAGAATGAAGGGAGCTTGCGGCTCTCGGAGGAGGCTCTGCTCTGCGGCTCTGCGGCTTTTGTCGGTACTTTTGAAGGACTTGGTTGACGGAGATGGACTCGAGGACTGCCCTGAGCATGTGTGTTCCACAAAGGGCAAGGGTGAACGTTGCCCTGATACCTTCACCGATAACCAGGCAACCATCTCCCCCACCTGAAACTTGATTCCAGAGGGAGCAGAGCCGCATACGTACATCCAAGATGGACCTTGGGCTCGCTCGACTCAATCCGGTTTCGATTTGGCCTCGACGTTGGGATAGAGTCATAACCTCATTCCGATTGTAGCTATACTTCATCGACCCAGGCATCGGATGTAGCCTCAACTCCCACAGGTGCGCATGCGTGGTGCGTATGCGGTGCGTATGCTGCCAAGAAGAGAGTGAGAACCGGTAGTTAGGGCATTCAAGGGAGAATACTCTCTCGGATGTCGGCCATTTCCGATGTATGGTGAGATGCGAACCGCCAGTAGGCAGCAGTCCCGTTGAGAGGGAACGGAAAAGGCGTCGGACTGTGCTCTGGAGCGAGGTGGGTGAGTGAGGGGGGAGAATCGGCGTGCATGAATTGCGTAAGCATGCGGAGGTCTTGTCGATATGCAGGCTCCAGGCTCAGTTCATTGAGACCATATGTGTCACGTGATTCTTTTAGATATCTGCCATTGTTCGAAGTTGTTGGGTAGAAGAACGAGTGTAAGTTGAAGAGCAATCTAGAATAGATTCGGTGAAGCTAGGTTCTAGCAGTTATCCGTTGGGAATCTAATTCTAAGTTAGTCCGTAGTTGAGGATGAGTTGGCGATAGGTGAAAGTAAAGATGATAGAAACGAGCGTTTGAACAGAAGGTTGTACAGCAGCAGATGAGGATTACTGTTGTCAAATGAGAGGTAATAGAACAGAGATGTAGAAAGACCCTGACCTATCAGCCGAGTGTACTACACTCTCTAGGACTTACACAGCATAGTCGCTGTATGGATAGCGTCGGTGGGAAATATGCAGCCTCCGACCCGTTCCTTTCATTCGCCGGGGTCACTCGTCTGTCCTCCGACTGGTGCGATCAAATCGTGGGAAGAGAGACAGCTAAGCTCTATTCAGGTCGAATCGTGCCAATGAGGGTATTCACATATTCATGTGGGCGGTGGAGGCGACTGTCCATTCAGGTGTTGTAGTGGCAGCTGCCAAGGAATCCATTCCAGCGACGACAGACGAAGGGCAGAGGTGAAGAAGGGGGGCAGTCGAGCTTCTTATACTTGATACCATGCGGCTCATTTGTCCAGCCGGCCATACGAAACGTGATATCTTGCAGTGCTCAGGCTAGTATTTATGATCCTGGTAGCGAAAGCCTAGGCAGAGAGCCACACCTTCGTCAACTCTCCTGGACAGGTCATGCGTCTGAGGAGTTGTTGACCCATGTGCCTCACAGCCTGATAATCTGACCGACCATCACCTTGGAAGTCGAGAGAATAGATGCACAATCTCCAAGGCAGGCCTCGATGTAGCAACCTGTTAGGCCCAAGTCGGAATAGGCGATATGTGACAAACAGGCTAAGTGGACATGAGAGATGCCAAGTGCACAATCCTTAACGCCATGTTTTGAGGCTCAATGCCGGATACCCATCAAGCATAATCAACCTAAGCTGGTCCTCAGCGGCGTGATAGAGGGATGATCCAAGGATAGTCGTAAGGTTCTTATGGCCTGATCATCCGGGAAGTAGATCACCTTGAGTTGGAGAGCAATTAGCACTGGGCTGTTGAGTTGAAAGTGCAAGAGCCTGCTTGCTTTCGTGTTATTTGTGAATGAAAGTATTTTGTAATTGTTTTCTGGTAATGACTCTCATCGGTGTGTGTTATTTGCAGTTTGCCTCCCCCTTCGGAAGGTGGCCTTGAAGATGAGGTGGCCAACTGAGCTCGCATATACTATACAAGTGTCATCAAGGTCCATAGGACAGAACCAAAAAGAGTTCACCCCCCCGGTGCTGAACTGGGGGCTACATCTCTTGGTGCTCATGCTGGGAAAATCGAACTCGAACTCGTAGCCTGTCGTCGAGTAGGCTGTGGGCGTCATTGATTGTTGACCTTAGACCACTCTACCACCCAGCCAGTTTGACCTGACCCGTCGACCTAGACGGGCGCCTGCTGGCTGGTGACAGGAGTGGACTTGGAGGGGTATATGAGGGTTTTCCCGCTGTTCCCGAGCTTATTCCATCCGGGTTTCGTGGGCTGATATATATTCCAGAAAATCATCGTCACCGGGCGTAGCAGCCTAGTATGTCGGGCGTCAGGGTGTAGCTTCCCCACCCACCCACGCGCGGCTGAAGATCCGATCATTTGGATATGGGTGTCTGTAAAGGCTCAAAGGGGAAGAAAGATCACGGAATTGTGAATTGAACTGCGAAAGGGGCCTCTTTTGGTCACCGAAGCTGAAACATGTAGCTCTCCATGGTTACCAATGAACCGTCAGCTGATGGATGAAGTGTCGCCACAGCTGAAAAGACATCTACAAGCCACGTTACCGCGTAATGCCTAACGAATCAAATAGAAACCAGTCTTGTTTTTTGATACGCAATTTGAATTGTGCATTGAAACTTGGCAGACAGACGTGTTGTCGTAGGATGAATCAGCATGCCCACTCATCTGGGGGACTCTTCTTGTTCGTTGGACCGGGGTGAAACAAAATGAAGGCGCAGTAGCGATCAGAGATGGGATATCGGACGAACCACACACTGTGGATTGCCTGGCGAGCTTTCCGTGGGAACTTCCCCTCGGGGAACGAAAGGGCAGTGTCCCGCAGCTGAGGGTTGCATGTCGTCAATTGGATGCTTTGGAATATGGAAGATCGGCATGCTGCAGTAAAGAGTGAACATGGTGAAGGGGAAGTCGCAAATGGAGTGGAGGGTGCCGACGCCACGAAGGTGCGGATGTTGTAGGGCTGAAGCCGCTGTTCCCGTTATTGATCCACTTCAGCATAAGGGAGCCATTGTTCTGCGCATGTTCTGCAGCGCATCTTTCCCGCCCCTGTCTTCCCTGTACCCGCTATTTTTCGGCCCTGTGTAAATTGACAGTGGAGGTGAGGTACCTAAAAAGGTACAATGGCATTCCATGACACTGCATCCCATGCACGCACCTCCGAGCGCCCAGAACTTGTCCGTCGCCCCGGCACCAATTTCCGAAAAGAACGACAACCATCTCCAATCTTACGCATTTGCGTATTGTCGCATCGTCTGCGCGGCTCTACAGCTCGCGACTCGTCGCTCGCAACTTCTATACTCTCTTTTGGTCGCTGTTTTATTTAATTTGTCCTCTTGCTTGATTCCATGCGCCGGAAATGATTGCGCCGTTGCAATGTCGCAAGCCACCAGCACGAAATGTGCCTCGCGATGGGTGACGCGCATCATCCCCATCATCATCACTGGCACCAGCGGCTATGCTACTTACGTAGTTGTGGCCTATCTAGGCGGTCAGCTATTCTCGTTTATGTGACTACGTCGCTCTGCTAATCTTTTGCTGCAGTCGACTACCTGTATAGAACCAGGGGCGAGCATGGCGCCGCCATTTCGACAATTACCCTCTACCTCTTTTTCTACCTCCTCACGATCGCCACCTATCTACGAACGTTCCTCAAGATCAAAGCGGACCCTGGCTTGGTCCCGCTTGGCCCACAGGCTCAACAAGCATTAAGAGAATCGAACAAAAAGAGTAGGCGGAGAAAGGAAGGAGACTTGGAAAGTCAGCCGTACTTCACAGGCCCCGATCAGGACCCGGATAGCCCCGGCTTGGAGGGATTCTACAGCAAGGACATATTCGTTTGCGAGAGTGACGGAAGGCCGAAATGGTGTTCCGAGTGCCGCAATTGGAAGCCTGATAGAGCACATCATTCGAGCGAGGTTGAGCGATGCGTACGAAAGATGGATCACTATTGCCCCTGGGTTGGTGGCATGGTGTCGGAGACCTGTGAGTTGACACCCTCTATGGCACGGATCGAATACTGACAGGAAACAGCTTTCAAGTTCTTTGCCCAGTTTACCTTCTACTGCACTTGTTATTGCGCAGTTGCGCTGGGCCAAACAGCTTATTGTCTGGCTTCACAGGTGCGCGATGGGTCCGTCGACGGGAGAACGATCTCGGGTGTCGCAATCGCAGGTTTCTTTGGGCTTTTTACCTTTCTCATGACTGCGACTTCTTGGCGCTTCATTTTACTTAATATCACCAACATCGATGCCCTTCGAAAGTCCTGGGTCCATCAACTAGCAATCAGGGTACCGAATGGCACCCGGCCCGGAAATAGCTACGGCTTGATCACATATCCCCTACCAAAGTATCCACAAGGGATTCCTACCTCCTCTGACGCCACCGTCGACAGCGAAACGCCCCGCGATAGACTTGCTACCCGCACGTTTGCCATTGTCAGGACCGAGCCAGACGAAAATCCGTGGGATCTCGGGTACGCCAGAAACTGGACGTCCATTATGGGGTACTCCTTGATCGACTGGCTTTTGCCCATACGCGGGTCACCATGCGTCAATCACGATAGCATGGAGAGTGACTACGAGATGGGCCCCTTGATACAAAGGCTCAGAGAACGACACAGTCTACCTGACCCCAACGGTTCATCTGGCGGAATGGAGATGCAGGAGCTGAGAGACAGCGATCGTTGACCGAGGCCTAAGCATATCGAGCGGCCTTTGCACATTCAGGCGTTAACAGGGAGTGAGCAATCCAAAGGGGGCCGGCGTTTTATTTTGGTTTATATGCCAATATGCACACACCTATACACAGACGTAACTAAAATTAAGCCTTCTTATGTAGTAATTAATTTAGTATATGGAAACCCGCACTGATTAGCTTCAGCTTACCCGCATTGTTGGGGTGTCTTACACCAGGGCCTTCTGATGTACTCAACTATACGGCCAGATTCGTTAGGAGCACCCAGACTCCTGGCGTTCCGGCAACCACCTTATGGGCTTCTTCCGGGCGAGCTCAACATTCACGCGGACCGGCCGACCTAGAAGACGCATCGGGCCGGAGGAGCGTCCACCGAACGGCGGCGGCGGAAACGATGGGGTCGGTCTGATGTCTCGTACCTGCCCTCTGGTTCAAGACATCATCAACTCGTTCTACGCCTCTTTCTGCCACATACGACCATACCCATTGGAAAACTCGGGATCCCGTCCGCTCTCCCATAGATAAGCCAATGAGGGCCGGATTAGTAGTTGGGTCGGTGACGACCAGCGAATACCTGGTGTTGTATGTCTTTTGATGATTTTTTGGTGAAGAAATCGTGGTTGTTTGTGGTGGGTGACGATATCATGATCCTCCATATGATCGGTTGGGGTTGCTTGTGTTGGCGGTGGCTTTTGTCTTCGTGGCACGGACGCCACGCATCTCTCTGGTGCCCTAGTGACACTTCTTGATGTTCATACGATAGATCTTGACGTTACTTGAAAAGGAGGTAGAGTACCATAAGAATGGAGGAACGGTGTAATGAGGGGAGAGATATTCACACACGAGCAGTGTAAAGAGACTTTATACAATGGAAGCAAGCCATTTCCTCTTCATTTATCATGGCACGTCCGTGCCGTACTACCTTTGTCAAACTCAAAACTCCAGCCTCCCTGTTAATCATGATATTCCCCAAGCCGTTGCAGTCGCTGTGATCCTGCTTCAAATTGAACCCCCGTGTACCCAATATCCTTCGCCTGACACGCAGAACTCGGAAGTCGAAACTTCAATCTGGGTCTGAACAGTCCTCACACTTTGTGTGATTACAAGGCGCTGCGTTGCACTTCATGTTGTCGTTCTCGTCCGTTCCGCATAGCTCGCTGTTGTTGTTCTCGCTACACTCGCAGCACTTCCAGGACCCTTCGGGCATGGACCTTGTGCTGTTGGGAGGGAGTTCCGACGTGTCGGAATCGTTGCCGTCGTCGGACCTAGGAGAGTTGTGAGTCGGGAAGAAGACGATGGAACCGGAACTGAAGTTTGCTGACTTACATGCTTGTATTATTTAAGGTCCGAGGAAACCTGGGAGCCGCAAAAAGTTGCTTCAAAGTGTGTGGGGAATGATGACTCTAGCTCAAGTCGAGTTTTAGAAGCCGAAAGTACATGTGTTATAGGAGAACTTGATACGGAGAGATGGTCTAGTGATTTGGACCGAAGAAGAGAAGCCGAATAGTCATGGACGATGATTTCTTTTGACGTTTCTTGGGCCATGACACCAGGCCTTTAGACTTATTTTATATCAATTTCATTTCTAACATATTTAGATAACACTGGAGGACGCGGAGGCCTGCCTTGCGCATCTTCAGTACGAGCACTCCAGTCTCAGATCAGAGGATCGGTTTAGATCGCTTTGTGCAGGTCTACCCCATGGCCGAGCTCACTCGGACGTGGCTCAATTTGGCAATGATGCATCCTTCCCGAACGAAACGTTCCTAGAAGAAGGGGTCTTGGCCCCCGCTCGCAGTTCCAGCGTCCGATGGGTGTGCTGGATCTTGCGTCAGTCGTTCTTTCTCGACTAGCACAGCATAGGGCTCCGAGACCAACCCCCACCCGTAAAGCTAAGAGAAGCCATCTCAGCTCCGGAGAGGTTTCCAAATAGGGACCTGGAAGAAGAAGAAAGCGGTTTCTGACTGGTTGTCCCAAAGGTAAACATTGGAATCAACATTCTTGGGCTGGCGCCGGTGATGCGGTTACGCCTGCTCTGCTACCCGCCGCATGTCTCGAGAGCCGCAGCGGGATGACCGAGCTCATGGAACTAGTAACATGGGGGCTGATCCTACAGGCAGCGGGATAGGAGGGGGTCGTGTTGGGTGAATTTCTCGACTTCATCGCCGGCACTTGGGGTTGGCAACCAGTCAGCTAATATGCCGCGATACCGCGGAACGAGGACGAGTTTGGGAGCCGACCCCAAAGATGACCATAGGGCCGTTGATGTGGCTTACCTGTAAGGATAAGGCAACGCGGACGAGGCAACGCTAACATTAGGGCAGCCTTATGGCTCACCTCGAAGTTTAGAGTTCAACAGAGGTAATGCTGCTCTTGTGTATGGTCGAGTACCGAAGACAGCTCGGCCTGTTTCCGTGCAGTTTTTGATCTCCTTCACCACTCACCTCTGCCGAAAGAGAGTGAGGGGTTTTCCATGTACGTCGCGCGCTTAACCCGAGGGTCCGTCATGATCGAGATTCAAGCCATCCATCTCGTAAACGTAGGGCTGATGTGGGGTCAAGATGTTGATTTCGAGATACTAATATTTGTTAACAACGATGACTCGCTCTGAGACCACTCTTAGTCTAGAAGGACTAGCTTTGCGAAGGGACGGCGCCTTGTTCGAACCCCAGACAAGCCACACCGTGAATTTTGCAGTGAATAGGGACTCCCACATTCCAGCCGAACGGTGGAGCGCACAAGGTGAGTTTCAGGGTGACTGGGTGCCTGATAGTTTATACCATCAAGACTTGCCGAAAGAATCCTTGTGTGATGTCGACGGCTCCCGTGCAACCAAGCCTCCTACGAACGACGGTGCTCAACGGAATCACGGGAACCCAGGTTTGACACGAGCAACCCCCGGTCCGAACCACCAAATGAGTAGATGCCTAGCTGCGTCGTATGAAGAATGGTAATCGTCATAGCATTACGTAGAGCGTGGGGTTGCATAAGGAAGCGAATTGTGTCTTATCCTCCGTTAGTCGTTGTGGGATGCTGTGTCTTGTGGTCGGCGACAGCGAGGCTTTGCGGCCGGCACAGTGTGACGACCAGTCCCCAGGTACGAGGAGATATGCAGCCTGCTCTTCCTCTTTCTCTTCTCGTCAGATTGGTTGATTAAACGCTAGGGCAGTAGACGCGGCATGTAGCCTGAGAAACGGAGGACGAGTGTTGACCTGCGTAATCTGACAGGCTTGTGAGAAGATGTAACGTCTTAGTGAAGGAGGTATGTCATGAAGATTAGTACAATAAAAGGTGAAGTGGGGAAATTAGATTGGGTAGACTGAATCTGAGTCCTGTACCACCTGCTTCTTTGGACGATCAATGTGCGAAATAGCACCTCGTAGCCTGCTGCCGATATCACTGGGGTCGATTAGAAAACAGTGTAGACGCGGCAGGCTCGTTGAACTCCCCAACTCGGACCATTTGGTCACGGTAGGCCAGGAACAGAATATTGCCGGCTTGGGGACTGAGACAGAGTATCAAAGGTACAAGAGATCATGATCCACTCAGTGATTCAGCTCGAGGTATTTGAGATGGTTCAAAGCCCGGCACGCGGCGTGCTTTAGTTATGATCTTGTAGTCTCGTGTTGCCTTTATTGCTGTTGCCTGATGGGCGCCTTTCTCATCGACTTATGAGGCGCCGGAAAGGCGCACAAAGTACGGAGTACTAGGGCCAGGAATGTCTTGGAACGTAGTTCTTGGCATGGCCGAGGCTGCGTCTTCCAAGAGCTGACATACGACACACCCTCATGAAGGTTGCAGCCGTGTGATCGTACCGCCGAGGACTGGTTGAAACTTTGGGAGAGGGTGAGAATAATGTTCACATGTGAAGAATTGAATCGGTATGTCCGAATTATAAGCTAGATATAGGGCAATGACGAAGAACGATGCAGAGACGGTCCTGATAGGGAACCAGCAAGATACAGTTCCCCAAGAGCCTGGAGATACTTGATAGCGGGAATAAGTAAGCGGACGAATGACGCAGCATCGCGGCGTAGCAATCTCCTCAATGGCGAATCGCGAAAGGATGAAGTAGGAGTATTGAGAGCACCCAATGAGTTCGTGTAAGATGCACTGTTGTCCTCAAGGAACTCAACGACGAAGTCAACAGAGTACCTATATTTCGATTAGTTTAGATGGTGTTGCGGCCGAATATTCATCAGACGATTAGATTAAGACGTAATGAAGCCTCTTCTCTCGAGGTAAGGTACCTAGATGGAGTCGGTTTGTTGCAAGAGGTTGAAGGACGAGCACTGCTAGGACGTCTGCGGGTCATCGTTGGCTAAAGGTGGATCCCCAAAGTGCCGCTGACCAACCAAGTTCTCGGCAAATCCTTACCTGCTGCCAGTATACGTACCTAGCTTCGGCAGACACTAAATGGCAGGCGCGTTAGCAGGCGCGTCTAAGGTACCTCAACTACCTGCTAGTCTCTGCGTATAAGAATTATCTGTGCCACAACACATCAACCATCTCCTTGCTTCCAGAGAAACAGCTACACTGAACCTTTTCGCTGTTGGAGAACGAGGGAAGAACCGAAAGTGGACGAGAAAGGGAAATCTGTTGATCGACTTTGCTGTCAACAAAGTCCGGTCCATGTCGACCCAAGAGATACGCCGTTGAGATTCCGGCAAACGAGCAGGGGGGCATCACGACGCCTGCCGGCAACTCGGCGTCACTCAGCCGACGTGATATCATGTCGTCCTCACAGCCCTTCCGGGAATCCTCCCCTATCCCCGGCATCGACAGACGCAAGTCTCAGTTCACCTTCAAACATTTGTCCCAATTAGCGGCTTACAATACATCGTGCCCCTTACGAGTTATAGCTCACATTGACCTAGATGCTTTCTATGCACAATGTGAGATGGTTCGTTTGGGCGTGCCCAAAGACCAGCCTCTGGCCGTCCAACAATGGTACGTGGCCTTCCCGTCTGGTCAATTTATCAACTAACAACCCCAAGGCAAGGATTAATTGCTGTCAACTATCCAGCACGTGAGCACGGCATCGGTCGTCATTGCACTTTGACGGATGCGAAGAAGCTGTGCCCTACGTTGGTTGCCCAGCATGTAGCAACTTGGCGAGAAGGCGACGACAAATGGGCATATCGCGATGATGCCGCTGCGAACATCCAGAGCGATAAAGTCTCGCTCGATCCGTATCGCCTTCAGTGCAGAAAGATCCTGGCAGTCATCAAGGAAAGCTTGCCCGCGGATCAGCAAAAGGTTGAAAAAGCCAGCATTGACGAGGTTTTCCTTGACCTCTCCGCACATGTCCATGCACTTCTCCTGGAACGCTTCCCCGAACTGAGAAACCCACCACCTTACGACGATCCGACGGAAAATCTTCCCGCCCCGTCCGTGGCAGCCCTTGACTGGCAAGCGGATGCCCTCATCGACCTGAATGAGGAGGAGGAGTCCGTGGATCCAGACTGGGACGACGTGGCGATCCTTATCGGGTCTGAGATTGTCCGCGATGTCCGAAGACAGATCCTGGAGAAGTTACACTACACATGCTCCGGAGGTATTGCCAAAAATAAGCTGTTGAGCAAGTTGGGCTCCGGCCACAAAAAGCCCAACCAGCAGACCGTCATTCGAAACCGAGCCGTAGCCCAATTTCTGTCAGGCTTCAAGTTCACCAAGATACGCAATCTCGGGGGCAAGCTTGGCGAGAACGTGGTATCAACCTTTAACACTGACGCCGTCGAGGAGCTATTGGCCATCCCTCTGGATCAGATGAAAGCAAAACTAGGCCATGACACCGGAAGCTGGGTTTTCAATACTATTCGTGGCATCGACGCTAGTGATGTCAACTCCCGCACACAAATCAAGTCGATGCTATCGGCAAAGTCGTTCCGGCCCTACATCAACACCCCGGAACAAGCCCATCGCTGGCTGAGGATCTTTGCTGCCGACATCTTCGCCCGCTTGGTTGAAGAAGGAGTCTTGGAGAACAGGCGCAGGCCGAGAACAATAAACTTGCACCACCGGCATGGCGGCCAGATGAAATCGCGCCAAGGTCCGATACCCCAGGGCAAAGCACTAGATGAGCAAGCCTTGTTCGAATTTGCAAAGAACCTCTTGAACCAAATAGTAGGGGAAGGCAATGTCTGGCCATGCGCCAACCTTAGCTTAAGCGTGGGCGGCTTCGAAGATGGCATCACAGGCAACATGGGCATCGGCGCTTTCTTGCTGAAAGGAGAGGAGGCCCAGGCACTAAGACAGAGTAGCCGCGAAGCAAGTGATATGCCCAGTCCTGAAGAAAAGCCGCCAAAGAAACGTCGGACGGAGGGAGGGGCGATTCATCGCTTCTTCGCACGCAACGTTTCCACTGACGACGAACTGCCGTCCGACAGTGCATCCGCGAAGAACGATATCAAATCCCGAGAGGAGACTACGTCAGGTGAGCCTTCCATGGCTGTTCCAGGTACAAGTCCGGCGCACGAGAAAGGCAACGGTGGCTTCCATCAGGTGCCAATAACGGCCTTCGTATGCTCGCGGTGCAACACGGGGTTTGAAACGCTAGAAGAGCACCAAAGCCACGAGGATTGGCATTTTGCCAAAGATCTACAAGACCAAGAACGTGGCAAGCCCACACTTGCTCAGCACTCATCTGCCACCCGCAGCTCCGGCCCAAAGACTTCAGGAACTTCGGCCAAGCGGGGGGGCCGCGGCGGCAAGCTCGAGCATGGACAGAGCAGACTCAAGTTTGGATGAATCCTGGTGATATGCCCGTCGTTGCCAACATCACGCCAAAAGTTTGTCGAGCGGGTCCTGCCGCCTGATACGCAATGAGACTTGAAAGTTGGTAAACTTTGACGCCCTGAGACCTGGTCCAAGGGTCATCGCAGTACAGGAGATTGACGGCGAAGCCCTCGACGAACCTGAGGAATCATCACTGATGGGCGTTTTCTTTCCAAATTCAAGCTTCACCGAGCGAATTATGAGGCGAGTCTTACACAAGGGTACCCACCGGGCAGGGACGACATGACTTCAGGGCCTGGTATGGCTGTCTGTCGTTGCCCAGTTGGGCACTCGGTACAGCAATTTGGGAAGCAATCCTGTCTTACAATAGACTCAGTCGCGGACCTGGGCGTTGCTTCCGGCCTTGCGCCGGGTTACAGTCTATCGGAGGACGTGGTTATATGAGACATGAGGACGGATCAACTTGGCAAACCACAACGGCCTGACGGGACAGGGACATACATGTGGTTGAGCGTCTCCGCAGGCGAAAGCGACGAGTTGGATGGCTACATGTGGATCGAAACTACCCGCAAGTGTCGTCATTCCAATTCCCGCCTGCAGCCTTCCGCGACATATCCGGATCCTCATGGCCCACGGGTTGAACCAATATTGGGAGCGTCAGGGGCAACAATGCCGGCGAGTAAGGCTTCGGACATACGAATCACGAAGATGAATGTAAACTTTTGAATAAGAAAACGACATTCAATACGTTTTGTGCTCTGGATGGAAGAGACAGGTGCAGACCGGATCCTTGATCGAGGCTGGTTCCGTGATACTGTTGGATCGAGGTTCACGCATCGTTTTGGTTGCGTCTGGATTGACACAATCCGGATGACGTCTGCAAGTGATTGGTTGCTAATTAGGCATCTTTGGGCCAAGGTGGGTTGGGCCACATTTTTGGCGCGAGGCATTGATACCCAACGTTGCCAACCACCACCTGGCACCGACGCACCGTTACCAAATCCCCGACTAGCAACACCACTCTGTCTCCGTATCCGTACTAACCACACAAATCAGCGTTTATGGGAAAAAAGCACGCACTCGCCTTGTCTTGATCCGTGGACCATCGCGGACAGAATGGAGGCTGGGAGAGGAAAAGAGACGGGGCATTCCCGGCAGTCGGAAGCGATAGGCCACCGCTTCGCAGCGATGCAAAGGGGCCACATCGCCGACCCCGAGTGGGTTCGCAGCAACGGCGAAGTCAATTTTTGATGAGGACACCGCCAGCAACCGCCGGACGATCAAGAGACAGGGCAAGCAACGGCATTCTGCGCCGTCAAGTCGCGAAAGGGCCGGCAGTCGAGGGCAAGGGTCCCAGGAAACGAACGTCCGTCGTCCCACACTCCCCAGCCACGGGGTTCTCATACAGTAGAAGTCAGTCGGGGGGCGGGTGTCATGACTGTCAGTGAGGACGTGCTTCGAATAACTAGTTTTTGCGCCCTCAAAAGCGCGTCGGCTGGTCGCCGTCTGAGGCTGGGATATCCCGTCCAAGTAGGGTACCAACAGCTCGGTCAGTCAGACTTGAGGAAATTGAAAGGGACAGAAAGAAAAAAAGTCAACCTCCAGGCTTGCATCATCTGACCACTCTTGCCTCTAGCAAGCTGACATAGGCAAGAAGGTCATCAGGGGTTGGGGATTTGCCAAATGAAGTCTGCCAGAAAATGCAACTTTCGACATTGGCTCACACGCTTGGATTCCAAGCGCGCAGACTATACATGCACTTATGGACTGGTATATGCATTTGTCACTTACCTCTTTCCAGAAGAAATTAGCCTTTGAAGTCTATGAATGATTCCCAGCTTGTTCAACGGGGATCGACACGGATTGCAAAGTCCAAGCGGTCTCCTGTAGCATCCTGTCCGGCTTTCCAAAGTTACACAGACACGATAGAGTACACACTTCTTCTTTAGCCTCGGCAACCAGACTGCCGCTCAAGCAAATGGCCTAGCGGATGTTGAAAAACGCCACTACGCCAAAGTAGTCAAACGCCTTCTCGATACATCCTTGACAAGAACAGCCCAAAACGCCATAGAACGAAGGTCTAGAAGGGACTACCCACGAGCCACGTCTTCCCCAAACTACTTCATCCCAAGCCGATGAATGCACTTCAGCCTCAGCTAGGCCAAATTCTCAAACAAGAATACTTGGGGCGGAAGGTCTGGATCATTGTCGAACCCCCCTATGAGGCAAGCACCGGACCTCACGATACCCGGTCCTAGGAGAAGGGTTGGGCTCAATCAAGGGGAACGGCGGATCTCAGACACCCTAAGGACGACCACAGGCTACGAGAATCAACCTACTTTGAGCTGCTGCCAATCTTCTCGCGTTTTCGGCTCAACAGCATTTCCCGCACACAATACTCTCGATTGGGCCTCGAAATGCCTTGTCGCATTGGATGAGTTTCGACTTCCTGGGGAGGGGGGGCGCAGGCAGGAACAAATAATACGCGCACCATTGAGCCGAGCCCCCTGTGCGACGAAATTCGAGCCTGTTGTAACATGAAGGACAAACCTTAGCATTGGATCTCACCACAGCTCGCCATCATACCGTCTCTCTCTCGTCTCTACCCTTTTGAAGCTTGACACGACTTTGAACCACACATAAGGAGCGCTTGGCTGCTGCATCTTCCTGGCTGGGTAAATCAGCTACTGGTCATCTTGAGAGCACGTACCAAGCTGGCCTGCCTCGGTTGCGTCTCGTTCGCCTTACGTGCGTCTATTTGTACAGCAACGGCGAGAAATGCAGGCAAAGGCAGGCCTCAATATTCCCAACAAATACCAGCTGTGTGTTTGGATGCGAATTGTGAGTGCGTGTGCGCCAGCAGCCCTCGCATGTTTGCTTCTTCCCACAGGCACAAATACCGTACCTACCCAGAGGTACTCACGCACGTCACCGTGAATGTCTGTTTGATGCTGTCCTAGTCATCCGGACCACCCAAATGGTGGTCGTGCTGCGCGCTAAAACGGAGCATCGAAGGCCCCGGACGGGACGTTTCCTGGGGCTGTCCTGGACCTCTCGCGGACATGGACAGAAGTGAGTAAGATTTTGTTGTTCATAGTGCGCGCACGACGCAGGGAAGTTCCTCGGTATCCCTTTTGGGCTGCGCGAACAGTCAACCCAACCTCCCAACCTCTCTTGAGCTACAAGCCTGCACCTCATCCCGTCTCCATCCACTCAGAGCGGCCGCCACCCATTATTCCTTGCTGCCGCCCAACTGCTCTCCGCCTCTCTTTCAATGTCAATCTGTATCCGTACGGAGCATTTGTACCAGGTTTCTGCTCTTTGCGTACCGTCCCGCCAGGTGGCTTTTACCGCCTCTGCTGGCTGGTCAGGTTTATGTTGCGTATCCATCCGTACCGTGCGTACCTTGAATGAGGCTGGGAGGTACAGCCTGAGATATACAACTGGATACCTCTCATCCTCCCGTCGTCCGTCTTCCTCTCTCGGGAACTAGGCGGCGCAAACTGGGCTAAGCAGGCTATCATCGCTTGGCCAGCAAGAGGCTAGACTTGGGCCACACCATAGGTAGACGCAACACAACCCACCCCAAGGCCCCCCCCCCCTCCTCGTGCACTAAGGGGATCCAGTGGCATATTGGCCAGGTTGCCAGGGTCTGGGTAGAGCGCGAGGGAAAATCCGCACGGGACTGTCAGCCAGCAACGTGGTGCCAGCAAGCCCTGTAGTTTCCTTGCCTGGTCGGTCCCGAACAGGCTCGACTTGATAGAAGGAGAAGGAGGAAGAAGAGAAGGCCTCCCATCCTATGTACCTCATCGTCTCACGGGGGGTGGAAGAGAAATATGGAAGCGATAGAGGCAGAGGATGTGTGTGTGGGTGTGGGTGTCGTGTGAGTACATACTGTGCTGCAGTCCATAGGCTTACCTAGGTTATTCGAATTGCCTACCTGAGGCTACCTTACCTCATATTCAGGCTGCTGCCACCAACAACAGTAAAGTAAGGTAAGGAAAGGTACAAGGGCAGTACTCCATACCAAGTACACCTCACGCCTCAACGGCTCAGAACCGCAGTTTAAAAGTGAGGACGAGGGGTGTTGGTGACCAGTCATAGACGGGCCTCACTGACCACACTGGTCACTGGACGCAGAGCCCAGTGGTTGACTGGTCCACGTCGGTGACTTCACTTACCGCTGCCCGCTAGGTCCCGGTTTTTCCTACCAGAAGCCCCCACCCCCAAGAAAAGAGCCAGACTCTGGCCTGTTCCTTTTCTGTGCCCACCACCCACTCCCTGCCCGCTTTTGTCTTCCCATTCTTCCTCTTTTTCTTCCCGCCATCTTGACAATCCCATTTCTTGCCCTTCTCCCCTCTTCTTTCTCTTTTCCCTTTTTCTTGCTCTCTCACCTTCACGTTGCCTCGCCTCGCTCGACCCTCTCTCGACCGGTTACCCTCTCCCTCCTCCTACTCAGACCACCCCCGCTTTCAACCGTCAACATGTCGAGATCCTCCCGTGGCCCCCCTCCGTCGGCTTCGTCTGCCTCTGCGAGCGGCCGCTCCAACGAGTACTTCGTTCCGAGAGATGGAATTGATCGCGAGGTCATAACCGCCGATATTTGCCGCTACCTCGGCAACGATGCCCTCGTCCGCCCGGGTCACTACGAGAACCCTCAGACCGGACAAGTCTCACAGGGTTACTACATCACCGCCTACCGAAACTTAACAACAGTGAGTGGCTTTGGTCCGCTATCGTCGCGCTTTCTTCGACCATTATACTGATACAACGCCTCTGTAGGCGATGATCGACGACTTGAAGGCCGATTCTGCGCGATGGGAGGCAGAGAGGCGGCAGCAGGCCGCCCGGAATAGTTCAGGAGGTACATTTACCTCGAGAGACGCGACGGCTCTTTTGTCGAGACGTTCTAACTCCCCTACAGCAGGGTACCGCCAGTCGGAGACTCACTCCGCACGCCAACACTATGGTCCCACGGATTCCACTGGCTACCCGGACGTAGGACGTGATTCCTATGAAAGCACCCCTAGATATCCAGGATCTCAAGCCCCAGGATACTCAGGGAACTCTGCCCAGGGCTACTCTGGATCTGCCCCTTCCTACCAACAGCAGCCTTCTTCTTACTCAAGTGGTGGGTATCCCTACTCTGGACAGCCAGACCCAAGAGCCGACCCCAGGTACGCTGGACAGAGTCAAATGGGACAAGGTTACGGTGAACCCCCGTACATTGCCACGGCCGCGAACATGGCGGCGCAAAGAAATTACCCCGCCGACCCCTACGCAGGACAGCCCTCTCGGACTCCTACTTCGATGGCGCCTCCCCCAGGAGGGCCGGCTTACTCTTCCGGATCACAGGTTCCGGCAGGATATCCCACAGGTTACTACCCGCCTTCGACGTCAGCCTCGTACGGTTCCACGCCGGTGGCTTCTGATCCGATGTACGGACGCGGTGCGTATACAGCTCTGTACCCCAACCCAACTTCTTCGACCTAATCTGATTATGTAGCGTCCCCAGCAGGTGGTGTTGCTCACCCGTCTCTCTCTGGCCAAGGAGGATCACAGTATGATAAGCCCCCTGCACCCCGTGGTTCTGCTCCTCCATCGAGTTCCAAAGCTCAGACGACAAGTAGTGGATCGTCGCACTCCCGCCGCAGCGAAAGGGATTCCGACAGGCATCACCAGTCCGACCGCCATCGCCCCCCGCGTCGCTAATACGTTACCTTCACTGGAATATACTGTAGCCACTCCGACTGCACAGGACGCCCGTCCTGTGAGTCGCTGTCATGAACTTGATCCTAATGATCTCGGGTCTTGGACCCGTTTCCCGGTGTCGGCTTCCTTATCATTTGTTTTTCCTGGATAGACCCTTTTCCTGGATTCGAGGTGTGGTATCCACCTCGTGAGTTGCAAGTATGCATCTCGCACTCTCCGTTGTCTGGCTTTGCTGGCGTTTTGGCTCTGCGCGGCCTCGGAGCTTCCCTGGCTCTACATATATTCCTGGACCGTTACGTCTCGAGTTCTACTACATCCTGCCCGGATCTCACCTGGACTTGACCTGGATTTCACCAAGAATGGATTGTGCCGCGCATACCCCTGGACGTTTTACGACTGCATATATGGATGGGCTTACGATTTTTGCTATTCGATCAACCTTTTCTTTTCAGCAAGTATGACTTGCTACCACGTGTTTATGGCCCGGAACCCAGGAACGGAAAAGGACATACTTTTTTAAAACTGAGTCGACTTTGACGACTTGAACGGACCACTTTGCTGTCCGGAGCCGTCCTGACGGTGGATGTAATGTCATTTTACTCTCTTCTCCTGGTCTGGGTTTCATTCTTCCTACTTGGACTTTCGGAGTTCGGGGTCATTATGGTGTTTCGTTATAGAATGGGCAACGACGGCGCCTGGACAGCAAGGTGAGTTCACGGATTGCACTGTTTTGAATAACTTCGAAAGGACACTATTGCAACTTTCCTCAGGATCTGAGACACTCATGGTTGAGGACTCTCATTTACCTAACATCACAGTCATCCAACCGGACTCGTTGCACCGCAAACTACTCCCCACTGGAAAAACAAATCTGGCCATTTGCAAACCTGGATCTGCTTTTAAGCATTCGCACCGCAACAAGGACTTTATTCCATTTTTTGGAGACACCGGATCAAAGCTTCATGGACCAGCCTGTGGAAGTACCACCCATTGGACAGTGGCCGTGGACATGATAGGCCTTGAATCCCCACAACCGAGACTCCCAAACCCTTTTGGATCTCGAGTCAGCTCACTGAGCTCAAACAAGAAATTACTGGGAGGAGACGCATCTCCAACGTGGGTGAGTTCTACATGACCTGGCCTGCCATCCGTCTCGATACAATGGTCAAGACGTTCCATCGACCATGAGTGGCCGTTACCGGTCAATATACCTTGGCACCAGATAACATCCGTTGCTTTTTGGATGCATGTTGCGATCATCAATGCAGCCTGCCATGGGACACGAGTCTGGCGGTTCATGGTACCACCCACTACCCACTGTGACCTGAAATTAAGGCATGGTTGAGGCTCACTAGCACCAGGCTAGGCACATGGTACAAACGACTCGACCCTACTTTTCTGGACTACTTTCCCTGGATTGCGGCTGCCCAGCCTTATGGAATATTTCCTGGATCATATGGAGCCTCCCTGGCAGCCCTTCCGGAACAGCTCGTTAGTCACCACTATTTCTATTCGTTCTGTGTTTCTATTCGCATCGTGGAACCATATCTATCCAAGCCGGGACATCGAACGTGGGAACTAACACGCTCGTCGCAGGCTTCACAGGGAACAAGCACACAAAGTTATGGCCAGGATGGGTGGGTAGCAGTGGCTCAATCGAGCGGACTTGATGTATTGCATATATCGGCGATTGTCTACGTTTGGACCCAGATTTCTGGAAAGTTTTGGAGTTGTGGTGACATCTACCGGATTCATTTATGCGTTTTTGATTGTTGTATTTGGCGTTTGGGCATATGATAACCAGCGGTTATCGGCTATTGAATGATGACTAAGTTTCCGTAATGAATTGAACGTTTCTGGATCATGTCGATAATCACTTATTCCACCTTGAGCATTTCCTCGTCATTCGTCATCTTGAAGACGCGTCTTGATACTCAGCAGGTCGCATCTGGACAGTCTTGCCCAGCATCACCCCAGTCGCATGAGATGCCATCTTGTTCACCTACCCTCCCTCTGCGATACTGGCGAGACGGGCACCGCTCGTGTCGTGTGTGTGGTCTAAAGCTTCAGTTTGTCAGGCAATCTACCCATTCTATTGGGATCGATTTTATTTTTATTTTTTTCATATCGGGGAAAAAAGGATTGGGCGGCGCGGCGAATGGGGGGAGGGGGGGTGATCCTGCTGATAGACTTTGGGTTGGGGATGGGGGTTATCCAGGTATGGGGAAGTCGGGTGAGTATATGCCTAGATGGAGGGTTTTCGACATGCTATGTCGGGATACCTGGCATCATGTTTGACCACTTATCAGAAGACGCAGGGTTAGGCTCAGAGGGGTCCGTGGGATACACTCACAGAGTGAGGCAATGTTCGACTCCGTGGGGGGAGGGAGGATGCTGAATACCAAATTTGGGGTTTCCTCTTCTCTTTTTGGAGTGTTCATTTTCTTTCAGTGATCAAGTTGGGTGGCGAGAAACGAAGAAAGATGAGAAGGCACATGAACAGTTCTTGTCCGCCCTGGCCCCCCCACAACCCTTCCCCAGAGGTCTGAACTTGATCTGATTCATTGCCCTGCCCTGCCAAGACTGATCGGATCGCAAAGTTGATGTGTGATTTTGCCACGGCCCCTTATATACGTCTCTCTGCTTCTCCCCGCATATTGGAGGAGCGCCCTTATCTTGATGTTGCTTGTCATGACTTGCTCATTTTCTTTGTCCCTTTCCACGGCTCAATGATTTCTATTGGATATACGGCACTATCCCTTTTTGGAATGAATATTTGGGAGAGAGGAGAAGTATGGGATGAAATTCTCAGATGGAGTAGGGAGGATGGTATCGCAGTCGAGTTCTTCAGGTTTATCAGGAGGTAGGTTCATGTTCTTGAGAAGGACGAGGAGGTCGTGATCTTGGCCTTGGAATCTTGACACTCAATGTCAAGAAAGGAAACCAGTTGCGTAAGACACTTCAAGGATGGGTACATCAAAGCTCAGGTAAGGTATGCTGAACAGAGCATCTGGCACCCCAAAATTCGGCTTGTGAGAGGGACATGAGGTAGGTGTAGAGATGGCTTTGATGAACCTATTGGGTTTCCTATTAGTATTGAGGAGCGTATTCTCTCGGGGCTGGCATGGACGAGAAGGGGGGACCCTCGGTGCTGACTTCTGAGGGCATCGATTCAGGCTTAATGATGACGGGATGGATGAAGGAGGAGGCTCTAGCATCGTACCCAGGGGTCTTGATGTTGGAGGTTTGAAAGCTACTGCGATGAACCTTGTTTCTGGAGGCTTAGAAAGGAAAGGGGTCCAATGCGTATTTCCAACTTTTCGCTTCCGTAAGAAGTAACACTTTTCATCCAACGAATCGGTCTTGTTCCAAATTGAGGACCATTATAAACGTAGCAGAGACCAAGAAGGACAGGAGTGAGATGGATCAACGGTTTGCATACCAGCTTCAAAGCCTCGTCAAACACAGATGACGGGCAGTTGAATGGCCATGGGGCGTTTTGAAGCGCCCTGAGGGACAAAGAGATTTGATGCTGAGACTTCGATCGAGGTAGGAGGACAGCGGTGTTGCACCGCGAGACTCCGGCATTTTTGCGGGGCGCGTGCTAAAAAAGACGGGATCGTGACCTTATCTTTATCTCTAACTGCTGTGACTTAGACGCGGTTGACGCGGATAAACCACACACCATTGCCCGACAATTCTCGTGCGCACAGTGTATAGAGGCGGCGAGACAAAGAGGTGTAAAAATGGAAGAGAGAAAAAGAAAAATGAGTAAATAGGGGTTCTCTCAATACGGAAGGGCCTCGAGCGATCATGAAAAACGGGCAAGGTGAAGTATCCCGTAGGTTTTGTTTTGTGGAGCTTTGTCCGGCGATTGCGCTCCGGTGAAGTGGGAACTCGGCCCACACCGAGGACGGGGTGACCAAGCCAGTTGACACGGGGATCGATATGGAGGGGTCAAGAACGGCCCCTGGAAATTTTTCTGTTAATCGGGGTTGGAAATTTGGAGATGAATGCTCATATATCATATATAGGGATGGTTGTAGCGGAAACTTGGAAACATGAGGCATTAGGAGCGCTCTACACTATTCGCGATTCCAAATGTAAAGGTACCTTTGGTAGAAATTCGAAGTCGGGTTGGCAGGAACGATGAGGTGGATGGGATGGAGGGGGAGGGGAAGGAGGGACGAGGAGGGGTCTGGAAGGCGCCGACCTACCCTTTGGGTTGACAGGTGCGACAGGCACGACAGGTACCGTGGGACGGGCGGTGAAGGAGAAAAAACAGAAGTTGCAGGGGGGGCATTCTGTCGGTAGTGGGGACCCCGACAATGGCCGGAGCAAAGACGGACCAATGGAATTGTAGTATTGGCGCCTTAGGCTGCCCTGATGCCATACCGCTTTCAGGGCGAGTGGAGGCGGTGGGCGGCGCACTTTTGTGTTTGCCTGCATTTTGGCATTTGCTGCCTTTTCTGCCGACAGAAAAGAAAAAAAACATTGTTCGTTCACTAGTACTCCGTAAGGCAGCTTAGGTAATGAGGTAGTCTGAGGGGCATCACGTACGGAACGCACTCCTAGACTGCTACTTCCATTTCTCTGCTCCCCTGGGGATCCCGTAGTAGGGTGCTTTGCCTAAGTAGGTAGGTCTACATGGCAGCATCCAGCTGCGACAATCAAGAAGGAAGCAAAACATTCAACAGAGGGGAGTCGACTGTGTAAGGTAAGGTACGAATGCCTAAACACTTCCCAAAAGCTCAGCACGAATAAGGTGGGTGGGAAGGAGGGCAGCGTGAGGTAGTATCAACCAATTCTGTGGATTTCGTTTTAGCAGCCGGTCCCCTGTTTGCTTGGACTTGTAAAGGACGATATTCCCACACAGACACACACCTTTTCCTGCCGCTCCCTATCTCCCTGAGACGCGGTTGCATCCCATGGGATACTGTT